GCACGCGCTCGCCACGCCCAACACGCTGCTCGCCACGCCCTTCCGGTGCGCACGCCACACACGCCTTGTCATACATCACACACACAGACACACAACTTGTCATACATTATACATATACAATATGTCATACATCACACAAATACACACAACTTGCCATACATTACACATACATAATATGTCATACTTTCCACTTCGAGAAATATCGCCGTGTCCATCATAATGTTTAAACGATTGTAGGTTTAAAGTGGGACACCGTCAATTTTCCGTATTGTACATCACACACGCAACACATGAAAACAGTTTAAAAAAAGGCAAACATTTGGTTTTTATTTTATCCTTAATACCCGACTTCTTAAAAAGACACGGGCAATCAGTTTATCTATATTTCATCTTTTACATATTGCATTTTTTCGCAGATCGTCCCGCAGTGAGGTGTCAACACCAGGCAGCTTCAACACACCCGGTCAGGGGCAGACGGGACAACCTGGCGTCACTGTGAGTCATATATTTAAATACTTTTGTCCAATAACAACATAACCGAAGAAATAGTAGCTTTGTATTTTTATTATGGTATTCTGTTTAATATTGAAAACATACATGTTTCAGACACCAGCGCTCAGAGACAAGTTGAGCATTAACCCCGAAGACCGTATCGGCACTGGCGATACACCACAGATGGCGAATCAAATACAAAAACAGGTAAAGAAAAATCAAATATTTAATACATATGTTTTGGTTTGTAATTTCATATTTGTACAATTATCGTCAAAATGTATATCTGTATAACTGCGTTTTTTCGACATAATATTACTTTTTTGCCAGAGACTATCATATATTAATGTTCAAATATATGTAAAATGTTGAGTTAAAAGGATACTAAACAATTAAATGTAATACATTCCAGTTAAAGGCGTCAGTACGTACCGCGCTGCAGTCTCTGCCGACCCCGCGCAACGACTACGAGATCGTGGTGCCGGAGGAGACTTCGCCGCACCCTGAGCACCCCGCGCACCCCGCACACCCCGCACTCGCACTAGAAGACCAGGCGGATGCGGACGCCAGGCTGCTCAGGGAACAGGAGGAGAAACGTATGTACAGCAACCAGAGATCTTAAATGTCACTTTTGCTATATCTATCTATACTATACTATATTGTAATAAAGCGTAAACACACACTTCTTTGTTGCCTAAGATGTCAGCAATTACAGCATGTTTTTGAATAATTCTTTTTTTAATAAAAAGCCCTACACTAACGTCACGCTTTAGGCTATATATTTTCAAGCCATTAAACTTAGGGATCAATATTTTGGATAAAAACCCTAATGTGCAATGACCATAAGTTGCTGCCAACATCAAGAAAGAAAGATTGCTAAGGTTTGTCATGTCATGTCATTTTGACATTTACTATTGATAATTTGAAAAATGTAAATAAAATCGAATTTTCATAATTTCATGCGGATAAAGCCGCACGGGAACAGCTAGTACTAATATAAGATACGAAATGAGTATATTAGAGGAAGTTTGCGAGTAGCCCCAGTGGTAGAGAAGGTGAGGAGCAAAAGGTTGGCATGGTATGGGCATGTTATGAGGAGGGATGAATCGCATGTTACAAGGAGAACGTTAGTTATGAGCGTTGAGGTACACCGGTACAGGAAGTCTTAAAAAGAGATTGATAGATTGCGTGAAAGGTGACATCAAGAAGGGAGTGATGACAGATGACGTATGATAGAGTTATGTGTAACAAAAACCTGTTGCGCTGATCCTTCAGGAGTGGGATAAGGAGATGATGATGTAAACTAATCTTAATAAGCGTTCTCCTAATGTGCTTTTTGTACCATCATTTGTTCTAGATTTTGATAATTTATCTATGTTTCTAGTTTAATATCTACGAGTACTCTTTTTAGGTATTATTTCTGAATGTTTCATCTATGGTAATGTTACAAAAAGGAAAGATTTGTATTTTTGTGGTGTGCAGGCGCGGCGCTGCTGGCGCTGCGGTCTGCGGCGGTGCAGCGCGGCTGCGTGCGG